TACACCGTACTGGCACTCTCCAACTAGAATAAACCCAGTAAATCTATTGTTGCATGATCAGTTAGCACTTCCATTTGTTTTAGGAAGGATTACTGATTCTAAAGGCACCAGATCCTGTCTGATCTTAAGCTAATCAGGGTTAGCCCAGGTTAGTACACAGATGGGTGATAGCCAACAAATACCAGGTGATGTTGGCTATACTTCAGAGGACAGACCTGGCAAAGCCACCTCTGAGTATTCCTTGCTAAGAAAATGCCATATAATTCAAGAGGTCACCATAAGTAGACAGATGACTTGAAGGCACATACAGAGACATGCACCACAACTGTAGAGATGGAAATCCTTCATCCTTCCAGATGTGGTTGAAATGCAACTCCTGGTATTTTTCATCATTGCCTATGCTGGCTGGGGGATGCTGGGATGACAACGTCGGGAGGGTGGTTTGATTTCCACCTCTGACCAACAGGATCCAGGCTTTATGCAAGTCATCCTAAAGCCCATGTCCATGGAGATCTCCAAAGCAGTAGATAATGGAAGCCATTATGTAAGGGAAGGAAGAACTGCCTTCCTTCCTGCTACCTTTAGACTATGAACACATGAAGGGAGTATTTTAGAAGGGGAAGGCAATCCAACTCACCAAGGTAACATTTAGCAGAAGCCATAGAAGAGTCTGACTTTGTAAGAAAGGTAGGGAGTGAGGTCCATTTCTATCAGCACCCTTTAGATTTTGCAAAGTAGCAAGTGTCACTGGCATCATCTGCCATGGCTGCAAAGCTGCCCAAATCTAATCTCCAAAAGCTGAAAATGTCCTAATTGTTTTTTTTTTCCCCTTTAGAGATTACTTGGCCTATCTGCCACTTAAAAAGCTACAACTTCCTACTCCTGATTTGCTTGTAGGTTATGCTCTTTCAAGTTGACTTGGACTTAAGGTGATCCTCTCTTAGGGTTTTCCTGACCTGGTTTCTTCAGATGAGGTTTGCCATGGCTTTCCTCCAAATATCACCTACAATAGGGCTTCTTGAGAGAGTCAGGGATGGTTTGAGTGTTGGACTATGACTCTGGAGACCAACATTTGAATCCCCACTCAGCCACAGAAATCCACTGAGTGACTTTGGGCAAGTTACACTCTCTCAGTCTTAGAGGAAGGACAAGGCAAATCTTGCCAAGTAAATCTCATAATAGGTTTGCCTTAGGGTTGCCATAAGTCAGAATTGACTTGAATCCCTACAACAAGTACTTCTTGGGCTACCCAATCTGTGCACCCAAAAAGTGGCAATGATCCCCCCTCCCAATGTGCCAGGGATTGACACCATATTTGTGCCCATTAGCTACAATTCTTTCTTGTGTGCAAATTCAACAGGAACCAACAGCTAATGGCTTGGGGGCCAAAACTGGTCCAGTCCACTTTGAGTACCACTGGCCCACAGAACCTGATATTCCCTGGCAGTCTCCTTTCCAAGTATTAACCAGGGATCCTTTCACACTACACAGTTATAGCACTATGATTCTGCTTCAGCTCCCATGTTGTATTTCATGGAATTCTGAGGTTTGCAATATTAGGAGAGAGGCATTTTGAATTCTCAGTGAGAAAGCTCCTAGGATTCCAAAGGATTCCAAAGGATTCCAAAGGATGTTGTCATGGCTGTTAAAGTGGAATATACTTCGGTAACTGCATAGTACAAAAGGACCTCAGGCTTAACCCTGCTTAGCTTCTGAGATCAGAAAGGACTGGTGCAATTAGAAAGGCATTTCTTTAGTTGAAAATGTGACTTTCTCTGGAGTGGGTTCACCCAATTTTTCATCTGTGTTCCTACACATGCAATCCTACCAATGTGTCAATTCTCATTGACCATCCTTCCCAGTGGGACATTCTTCCAAAGCAACATATATCCCAAAGGTAGGCAAAAATATGGACCTAGGGTCACTGGTAGCCCCATCGAAGCCTTTCCTGTGGCCTGTGGCCAGCCCCCAAACTTTGGGCCAGCCCTTTTTCTAGCCAAAAAAGTGGAGGAGATGCTTCATCTAGAAGCCTTCCAAACCTGAAGCAGAAGTTCACCTTTTCAAGAGGTAGAAATGCCCTTCCACCTGACTATAGTATGGCTACCATCCCTTTTTCAAGGCAGAAGTTAATTTGATGGTTTCTGGCTGGGTTTTGTCTGTTCATTTGCTCATCTGTTCATTTGTGTGCATCCCCCAGAAAGTCTCCCAGAAAACTGGACCACCACATTTGCCCACCCTGACATATGGGGATGGGATTGCATTTAAGGAAATCTGTTCATGTCAGGTCTAGATTTCACCTAAATTCCATTGCTAGCCCCAATCAGAGTAGACTCAACTAACTCAATGGAGCTTAAATAGGTGTTGATCTAGCAAGTTCACATTGAGTCAACAGGTCTACTCTAGTAGGAAAGAACAACAAGATTTTGGTCTTCAGGGCCCTTTCATGCTACACAATGTGATTTCACTTTAACTGCTATGACTCCATCCTATGGAACCCTAGTGGGAACCATACTAGTGGTTTAGAGAGCCACTAGTGCCCTCTGGCAGAGAAGGCTAAATAACCCACAAAACTACAAATCCTAGAATTCCATAGAATGGGAGCATGGCAATTCAAGAGGAATCAAAATGCTTATGAGAGGATCCTTAGTTTTACTTAGCAGACCTACTGCAATGGAATTTAAGTAGGTAATGAGGATGAATTTGTTCTACTGTTTTCAATGGTTCAATAGGTCCAGTGGTTTGAATCTTGGACCAGAATTGTAGAAATCTATAGTTCAAATCCCTGTTCAGCCATAAGGTCTCAATTCCTGCTCAACCATCTTGGGCAAATTACACTCTCTCAGCCTTAGAGGGAGTAAATGGCAAACTTCCTCTGAACAAATCTTACCAAGATAATTCTAGTATAGGGCCTCTTTAAGTTGGAGCCCGCTTGAAAGCACATAACAACAATAAAAACTGATCATGAACAAAACTGGATCAAGACCTATGGATTTTTAAAAGCTTCCTTTTCAAAAGGATTATTTGGCCAGCTAGCCATTCCAAGATTCATGCCTTCTCATGATGTGGCCAAAGAACAATAGTCTCAACTTGATCATCTTTGCTTCCAAGGAGAACCCATTTGTTTGTCTTCTTGGCTGTCCATGGTATCCTAAGTACTCTTCTCCACATTATCTCAAATGAGTTGATTTTCTTTCTGTCTGCTTCCTGCTGAGTTGAGTTGAGACTATCGTACTTTGGCCACATCATGAGAAGGCATGGATCATTACAAAAACCAATAATGCTAGGAAAGGTAGAGGATAGAAGAAAGAGAGGAAGATCACAAACCAGATGGAAAGACTCAATTTGGGGGCAAGGGCAGAGATGTCTCATCCACAGGGTCACCATGAGTTGGAACTGATTCGAGGGCAGCTAACAACAACAACAACAACAACAACAACAACAAAGGCTACTGCCACACTTCAGAATTAATGCAGCTTTACACCACATTGACTGACATGGCTCAATGTTATGGCATGCTGGGATTTGTAGTTTTGTGAGATATTTAGCCTTCTGTCTCGTTGAGCTCTGGTGCCACAACAGGATTCCACACAACGGAGCCATGATAGTTAAATCAATGTCAAGGTGCATTAATTCTGCAGTGTGGCAACAACCACAGTTTTTTCTGCCAATGTTAGAAGAAGAAAATTTGCTATTCACATTTAAAAATATGATTGTCCAGACTCTGTTTAGAAAACATAGCTCATCTAACATCTGCTGATGGTCCTTCTGATAATTTGTTAAGACTATGGGTTGCAGGCTGTACACCTTCATCCAAGAGTTATTTCCACCAAACTCAACAAGACTTTACAAGTAAACCATGCATGGAATTAGGCCATTCAGATCTGGAAATCCACCCCATACAATTTTGAATCCACCTTGGGCTTTCTGTCTCTCCTTTCCCCAAGTGACCCAAAAATATTTATGATTCTGGTATCTTTGATTCCTTCAGTCTTCAAGAATTAAGAGAGAGAGAGAACACCCTAGCAATGATTTATACCTATGGTTCTGAACTGTGAGCTTTCAGGCTGCATTTAGAATCTGCATCTGTCATCCTGGCAAGGTTTTTCAGAAGCAGCAGTCTTGTGTGACCGTTGCCATTAGCTAATATGCGTCCTGCAATTTACCAAAAGACACCCTAAATTTGCTTGCACATATGCCTGAATTACCAGAGTAGAGAAGCACAAGTGCTAAAATTAAAAATAAATAAATGTATTGCAGATAAAATATTATTTCGCATGCTAAATGTTCTCTCTCACTCATGCACACACAAAGCAATCTGGCAAAATGCTCCACATTTTGCAAAATGTGATTCATCCAGGTGGCAGTGTGGCATTTGCCCGTTGCCAAGCAAAGCCCGGCTGCCGTTATTTTTGGATAAACACATTCCCAATGAACCTTAGCGAAACAAGCAACATTCTGAGATGCTAAAAACCACATCTCCATCCACCCATCTCCAATGACTCATTCTCCCATCCCTCCTGGCCAGTTATATCACTCCACATTTCTTCAGGATCAAAAGAAGAGAAGGCAAATGTCCGCATATAGGGACTTCTACCATCTCCTTCCTGAGAAAAAAAGGAGTCTGAAGAACCCAGCCAAACCATTTTGTCTCATGGTGGCACCAACCTGTGAGGCTAAATACTTAGAGGAACGCATGGTCCAAACCAAATGGTCTTGCTGGACATGGTTCCTCAGACCCAAAAATACCTCACAAATATTGATCACACCTGTTCCTTCAAGTTAACCAATAAGTGAGCCAGACAAAATCTATCTGGAAATGCAAGCAGTAGCCTTTCATCAATATTACTGAAATTGATTGTGAATATTCAGTATTATATTAAATATTATCGGCTGGGATCCTGTTGGTTGATCTGCACTAGAGTCTTTGAATCCATTGTTGAACGCTGAGTTGACACATAAGGAAATCCAACTTATTCAAATGGTCTATTCTAGTCTAGAAAGCCAGCATGGTGTAGTGGTTTGAGCACTGGACTATGACTCTGGAGACCAGGGTTTGAATCCCCATTTGACAATGAAACCCACTGGGTGACTTTGGGCAAGTCACAGTCTCTCAGCCTCAGGGGAAGGCAAAGGGAAACCTCCTTTGAACAAATCTTGCCAAGAACTTAGGGTCGCCATAAGTTAGAAATGACTTGAAGGCACACAGCAACAACAAACTCTCATCTAATCTTAACAAAAGGATTTAGGCCATCATCATCTTCATCATCCTCATCCTTATCATCTTTCTCATCTCCAAATACAACAAGAAATACCCAGGAGTTTTCAGCTTCTCCTTATGATTTTATCAAGTTTAAGAACCAAGCTGGTGATATTCTTGTTAATGTCATACATGACTCTTCACAATAGTGTCTAATTGTATACTCACACATACATTTACACACATAATTTCTCTCACATACATATGGCCATACTGAGCATATAAAGCCTGGAATTATGTTGGATAGTCTCAACTAGAGTAGACCCATTCAATGAATTGTTAAATGGTAAGTCAACACATAGGTAAATTCTACTGATTCAATGGCTCAACTATAGGTAGGACTAGTAACAGAATTCAAGCTTAAGACTACATGCTAGGAATGAAGTAAGCAATAGAGCAAACTCTAATTGCTTATATTTATGATAAAATGTAGACAGCCTTGGGATGAAAGCAAACACAAATGCATATGCAAATATACCATGTGTCTGTATGCTCAGGCACATGTGGATGCACATATGTGTTTATGTATATATTAACTAATGAATTAATCATATACAGGATTCCTCCACTCTGGGATGATCATTTCAAAAGCAGCAGGTGATGTTGCACCCTATCCTACCCTTTTTATGTACCATGATTTCTGGAAGAAGTCATCATTCGAAGTCAATCTGGACAACCTGAGGTCTCTCTGGTCCTAAATACCCTCAAGATCTCATCTGATCTTGGAAGCTAAACATGGTTAACCCTGGTTAGTACTTGGATAGAAGACCATCAACAAATACCAAGTGCTGTAGGCTATATTTCAGAGGAAGGAACTGGCAAAACCACTTCTGAGAATTCCTTGCCTAAGAAAACACTAGGAAATACATAGGGTTGCCATAAGTTGACAGGTGACTTGAAGGCATATGTGCACACACAGGTCTCTCTTATCATGACTGCTGTTACCTTTCTCTTCTTCCTCACCCCTACCCAACACTTCTCCAGAACAATTTTTGCTCCTCTTTTTTTCCTGCTTTAATAGGATGATGAACAAACTCCTCTTTGCCCAGTCTTGTAACCCCTAATTCAACACTTTGCTCTCAAGTAAATCCATGGCAATGAAGTCACTCTTAACTACCCATATGGAAATCTTGTTATCTCAATAGTGGGTAAAGATGTGTCTGTTTCCCCTTCCTCCCCCTTTGTCCTGCCAGCTTTCTTGCCCAAAAGACTCTCAGAAAAGAGAAGGAAAGGAAACATGCTTTCAAGAAAGAAAGAAAGAAAGAAACCAAACAAGTCCTCTTCTTTTCTCTTTGCCAATTTGCAAGACGGGGGAGAAACCAGTTGCAACCCAAGTCCAGCTGGTTGCTTTTTTTCCAAACCATGTTGGACCCAGCAACTGCAAAGACGTGGCATGAAGGAAGACTTGGAACAAGGCTGGAAGGTTTGAGGATTCTAGTCACACTCTCAAGGCAACAGGATGAAATGAACAACCCCCACCACCCTTCTTTAAAACTGGCTGAAGATTTTCAGACAATCTCCTCTCCTTTCATCTTCACTATTCATTGACCAAATGTACAGTTGAATCTGCACTCTCCACCTTTCCAAAGGCATCTGCTTTTCAATTGCTTGGCAGAAAGTGACACTTACTTTGGTACCGAGCCAAAATATATCAGGGTCATTACCCTAAAGGCTTTGGCTTTCTTCTTTCTTTCTCTCTTTTTAAAGCCAATATAACTAGCCATCCACCCATCGCTTATTAAGTAGCAAATCCTCTGCTTTGCTCCAAAATCTCACCCTCCCATGGATCTTTTGCACATGACAAGAAATCCAGGCAGTGATTCGGTGCAGAGACCAATATGTAAAGCAATCTATATCAAAACAGATATACAGAGATATTTGCTGTTTTATACTTTTTTAAAAAATTATCAATCCATCTGTCCATCAAGCAATCAATAAGGAACTGGGCATTAAGCAAATACACTTACAGGCATACTTAAAAGACAAGACATGACAAAAGATTTTATGGAGAGATAATATACCAACGTCATACAGATCACGATGAGGCCATGTTGATTCTCTTGGCTGCTCTCCCCCTTTCAGAAAAGAAAATTCTCTCTGTTATGTATGTAATCTCTCTCTTTCTCTCTCTCTCTTGGGTTGGTTTTTTGTTAACTGAGGGGGTCAAAAAATAATGTTTTTT